AACGTCATTACTGTGCCAATGACATTGAACTTTGCTCTTCCATAAAGCAGCAGTTTCTATCTTCAAATAATCAAACCTTGATACCCTGACAAAGCATGTCTATTGTTTCACAACGACTGTCCCAAGGGATTTTCGTATTCTCAATTTCTCAAGATAAACGTCCCAAGGTTGTTTTTTTTTTTACTAGAAGGACATGTCTTTTGGCAGCATTTCTTGTATTAATTTCCATTGCACAAAAAAGTAGCAAATACTGTTACTGAAGCACAGAATTTGCATGATTTTTTTCTCTCCGGCCATTCACGCAAACTGTAAACGAAGTCTTTACCTCATCCATAGTTGCTGACACTTTGCAACCGCCTTGATGGATGTATTGTGACGTATTTTGACCCTTGATTCTGACCTTGCATTCTGGTTACATTTACCGCCCTTTCATACCACTTCAGTTTCCTTTCATCATTTCATCCAGATTTCACGATATTTAATATTTAAAACCAACCTTCATTTCACAGCCACTCTAGTTTTTACTTTTCTAAAATTATTTTACTGATCAAAAGACTTTCCACTCCCATCATGCAATCCCCCATAGTACTTCCGGAAACACAGAGGCGATCGCCAGCATATCTACAAATAACCTCGCTCTCAGGAGCTGAGGAATCAAAAAATCATGATGCACATTTATAAATGTTGTATATATGTTAGACGAACAATGAGAACAGTGCCCTCTATTACAATTATTCATGTATGTACAATCATTTTATTATCCTTTTTTTTCTATTTTACTTGACTAAGTTCATCTTCTATAAAAAGAATTTATGTCAATAAAGTTATCTTATCTTATCTGTATAAGAAGAAAAACACGTCTTCTGTTCGACGTAGATTAGACTACCTAACTGATGGGACTCTTTTTTTAGCTCCGCTAATTTTCTAATTTTGATGAATATATTTGTAATTTTTGGTAAAAAGTTATATTTTCGACTTTCTGTTGAAAACCGCAAGTCTGATAGCTTCGATATTACTCATAAGAACACTAGAAGGTGGACTTCGCTCAGATTTGTTCATTTCGTGATGATATCGTCAATTTTCTAATTAAAATGTGCACTGACAACAGCGGAGCTGTTTCAGCTGACAGGCTGCTTGTATTAGGACAATTTTCTCAAATACGGTACTGTAACACGCACAGAAATGTCCTTTTATTGTATCGCGGAACCATAGCTTTATATCGAATTTCTACATAATAATGGTCATGCGATTTATGACCAAATTTCTCAGTAATTTTGAGTATGCTTCCACGTTCACGTCCGTCTCTTCAAGAATACGCTCAGCCGGCCGGGATACTAGTATTCAACAATATCGCTGGTTCGGACAGAAGCGGTGCATGTTCGATTGGAAGACAAAGGAAAAAAAAAAAAAAAAAAATAAATAAATAAATAAATAAATAAATAAATAAATAAATAAATAAATAAATAAATAAATAAATAAATAAATAAATAAATAAATAAATAAATAAATAAATAAATAAATAAATAAATAAATAAATAAATAAAACGAATATTGACCTCCTCGCTCTCTATTTGAATATCGACGCACCGTGTTATACCTGTTAGTTTACAGTTTTACAGACCTAAAACAGTAGATAATGTATAAAACATTAACCGTATTAGTCATTCACACAATACAAAGCTCGTAAGGGTTGGACCATTTGATTTTTGAGGGGAGGGGAGGTCAGAAACGAAAAAAAAAATTGCAAAGTGAAGGGTTCTTTGCTGCTTCACCAGTGTAAAAAAAAATATTTGTCACTATATGACTTAGGAAAAATATGGCAATTCTTCCTGCCAAGATAAGGGGACACAGAATACAAGAAGAACTAGGTCATATATAAATGGATGTCAATAATTCTGGTTGTGGATTAATTAATAGCAGAGG